GTGTAACGTGTCCAATTTCTCTCAAAGAAACTCATCAAAACGTTCATCGTGGCCTTGAACTTCCCATTTCTGCTCTTAATTTGATAACCAAAGCATAACATCAGCAACACATCACATGCTGCTTTATTCTTGTGATGAAAAAGGGATGACATTAGCAGATTTCATTTGAAAGGCAAGTCTAATTTTGGACGGAACTGACTTGTATCACTTTAAAAGCATGAGTATACAAGCTTGTGGTAAAAGAGCAAAAACAAATACAAAACATGTACATCCTCTTTTAGCAGTCTGTGTATGCACAACAGAAGAAAATAATTACAGATTTTTACAATAAAAGGTTTGCTGTAGACAGCTAAAGTGTTGTTCAAATTACACATTATCCACATATGGGATTCAAAAACTAAATTAAACCTGGAAATAAACATACTTTGAAAAATATTGCTTAAAATTAATTTTAAAATACATTAAATTACAACAAATGAACAACAGATGGACTTTTAATCTGCATTGTATGTAAGAATACAAATGCTGTCATTCTCAAGTGTGTTTCAATGATTTTGTATGTTTGTGTAGAGATGTCTCAGACCTGATGGATGTCCAGGTCGTCCACACGGATCACCATACAGCTGGAGCGAAGTCTCTTCAGCGGAGTTCCTGAGGACGGGGCGGCTGCTGAAGTCCGCCGGGAGGTCGGAGTCCGTTCAGGACTGAAATTGGGCAGTGATTCTCCATCTGCGTAACATAAAATAATTCAATATTAAGAAACTAGCACAATAAAGCAAACAAAACCAGACATGCTCATGTCAAATACATAAATTTTTTGAGGAATATATATATATATATAGTGTTTAGACTAGGAAATTGTAAGAACTGTAGCTCTTGAGAGAAAACTCCGAGGTAACACTAGCAGAAAAGGAACAAGTTGTGACACTTTGAAGACAAATGAAAACAAAACTGATGATGAATCATCCACAGTAACACCAACATGTATTGTTGGATTCGGGACGGGTAGCGTTTACCCTTGATTTTTTTGGCTGGAGAGTCTTTAGCGGACACATTTGGCTCTGAGTGAGGTCCAGGGATGCCCAGATCCTCCATCCTCCTCTGAAACTCCTGCAGCAGTTTGGCGGCCCACTGAGCACGAGACTCCATCGCCCCGCAGTGACGCTCCCAGTGCCGACAGCCATCACCTGTAACAACACAGCACATCTGCCTCTTATCCTACAGTAGACCTTTCACACAATACACTGACAGCAAACACAGTTAGAACCTAAACATGAAAGCTCTGATCAAAAGTTTGGGAAAAAATGAATGCTTTAATTCAACAAGGATGCATTATATTGATCACAAATGACAGCAAAGACATTTACAATGCTACAAAAGATTTCCATTTCAAATAAATGCTGTTCTTTTTAACGTTCTATTCAAAGAATCCTGAAGACTCACGGTTCCCATAAAAATATGAAGCAGCACAAGTGTTTTCAACTTTGATAATCAATTCAGCATATTAGAATGATTTCTGAAGGATCGTGTGACACTG